GCCGGGACCCGCCGAAGTGCTCCGCCGGGACACGGGCGCTCGAGGTGAGAAAGCGTGGGTTCGCTGGGCTCAGGTAGGGGATGTCCTGTTGGTGCCCAGGGCTCGACTAGTGTGGCCCTGTGGGCGGAAAAGGGCAAGTCTGCCTCTACGATTTGGATGGGGCTGAGGGTGGAAGACGGAGAGGGTGCGGGGCGGGCGGTGGCTGAACCCTTCCAATCTCCAGTTGCCTTTAGGAGGCTCTCGCTGGCCCCAGATTCTTTCCACACCGTCAGGTCTGGGTATCAGCCAATGCCCATCCACAGATCAGGTCAAGCGTTAAAAGGAAAGCACGACCCAGGCTAAAACTCTCTAAGGCTCTGCTACAACACCTTGCCTCACAGTTTGGGGTGTGATGTCTGGGGGGTCTCACTGGGTGCGAGCCGCATCTCATCAGAGCCAGAAGTGCATCAGTAGGTTTGCGGAGGAGCTGCCCTGGGTGCTGGGGATTGGGACAGGGAAGTGGTAGAGAAGGTGGGGTTGTAGGGATGGCTGCGGAGGGGACAGACCCTGGGAGAGCACAGTCCTAGCTCGCCAGTCCCTCCCCCTCGAGGCCGGGTGGGAGGCAACAATGCAAAGCCTCGGGGCGCGGTCTGAGAACTTTGGGAATGACTTGAGGTAGAGGGCGGGGAAACACCCGGTGATTTGTCCGGCCACAACTTGGTCTTTAATTGAGTTAGGAAAGGAGTGGGGGCTGGAGGACAGTCACGGCGGGAGAAAGGCGCTTTTGGTGACAGAACGTCTGGATCAGGTTTCTCCCTACTCTTACCCCCGGGAGCACAGCGTGTGAGGTTCCACAGGAAGAGGTGAGCGACACGCAGTGCCACGCACGCGCTATTTGGAAGAGGAGAAGGCAGGGAACCGTGGTCGGGGAGTGGGTGGGAAGTATGTGGCAGCTGAGGTCTGTGCAGTCCGGGTGGGTTCAGAGGTCTTGAAGTGCTGCTCCCGCACCCGCCCCTAGGGGCGCACTTCTCGAGTCCACCCAAACCAAATTCACATTAAGTGGGGTTGTTTTTATTTTTTAATTTTTAAAAATGTGGTGCTGAGGATTGAATTTAGTGCCTCACACGTGCTAGCCAAGCGCTCTACCACTGAGCCACAACCCACTCCCTCAAGTGGAAGTTCTTAAAGGAGAAAGTCTGCTAAGAAATTAAGGCAAGGAAAACCTCACAGGATCACGAAAGTCACAAAGTTTACAGACACTGAATCTCTATCCTCTCTAAACTGGAGTCTGGGTAGGTTGGGTGCATGATTCCACACTCCCGAGTTTCTTAACACATCAGCCTTTTCTGGGGAATCTTCCCAATCCACTTTTCAGATTTTGTTCTATTTCTCCACCTAATGCCTCCTTTAGTGCAACAACAACAATAACAACACACACACACACACACACACACACACACACACACACACACACCTTCCTTCAGAGAAAAGACAGGACAGGAACTCCTGACAGATCCCCTTAGCCAGCCAGAGCTACACATTTTTAGTGGTGTCTGTCTCAACCAGAGATATAAATCATCACATTCCAGGAGCTATGCATCTCCAATCAGGTCTCTTGGCAACTTCAGGCATGTCATTCACTCCTCCTTTTTAGGGGATTAGTAGTTCTTACTCTATGGATTTCCAGGAGGGGCAAGACTTCAGGAAGAAGACCCATCAAGCTCCAAGAAAGATCACAGAGCAAAAACAGAGCACATGACTTTGAATGATGAAAACTAGAGAAGACTAGACTGATTTTTTTCATGACTATAACTTTATCTTGTACCCACACTTCATACACATACCAAAACCCCACTTCACCCTGTGGTAGGTAAGGTCTGGATAACTGCATCTGAAATATAGCTGAGCATGAGGAAAGACTTTAGTACCTAAGGGGAGTACAGGAAAAGAGAATGGTTCCTCTCTCGTGCAAAGTGCACTAATTGGCCCATCCAAAAGTGAGAAAGTATCCCAATTTTATCACAGGGACCACTAATGGAATAGCATAGAAGTCTGTGTTACTGAACATGTCAGTATTTGGGTGCCTCCTTCTTGTGTCTGTGTCTCTGTTTTTGTAAAGGTGTAGGTGTATGTTTGACTGTATCTTATGTCTGCTTATTTATTTCAATACACACTATGGCTATATAGCAATCATGGTGGAGAGCTAGGGCAGAAGTGGGAGATTTTGCCAGAATAGAATCAATTATATTATCAGACCCTACTTGTCAGTCAAGGAGAAAGATCGTTCCAAGGGAATCTCAAACTTTGTAAGAAAAGCAGGATTTCTGGGTGCAGAGACTTCTCATTTCAGTCCTACCTCTTCACATAGGAGCCCTGTTAATAAAGAAACTCAAATTAGGATTGGAGTCATGAAATCTTAACTTTAAATTGAGCTATTTAAATTAAGGAAGACCCAGAACCAGAAGAGATTTAAACAAGACAAATTTTATTCACCAACTGTCTTTTTGCTTTAGTCATCTTTAATAGGTATTGTGGAGAACTGGAAATAAATTAACAATGCCTTTCTGTACTTTAGGTATAGAAAACCTTTTGTTAGTGTTTCTTTGAAGCATCATGTTAAGAGAGATGAGCCATTCTTGTAAAATATTTATAACATCTCATTAAAATAAATGCAGGAATAATACTAATAAGCACCCCTAACCAAAATGCATTATATTATTTATTATTTGCTTATATTGCAAATATTTGATTTTGACCTTCCAATATATAACACGAATTCCTTGCTGTCAATAACCTTGTTTTACCTGCCTATCTTGTTAACCAAGATATTCTACATTTTATAGCCCTTCCTCCTATATCCTTTCATAAAAAAATATAATGTTTTCATCCAGGTGATATAAATAAATTATTTATAGGTGATATAAATAAAAAATTCTCAGACCCATAAACATCTGCTTCAAAATAAAGATTCCTATCACATATTTCACAAAACAACTTAATCCACAAATTCTTAATCACTCATCTTCAGCTAGTATCTTTCAGATTCAGTTAAACATGAACACTTATGCTTGGGTCTTCACTAGTTTTGGAGATGCCAACTATTGGAAGAGATTTTGTGAAAAATTTTTGAAATCACTAAAAATTGAAAGTTAGTGAAATCCCTTCTTGCCAGCCCTTAGTTCTGCATTGGTGATAATGTGGACTGAGTATAGTGTAATGACAGAGCATAGCTCCCCCTTGTGTGAGAAATCAGAAGAGGTCTGTGAGAAGAACTCATTCATATTCATTCTTTTGATCCAGAGCTTGATTAGTATATGCTACATGCAGGAAAGATGCAAAGATGGAAAGATTAAGTCCCTGCCCTCAAGGAAATTGAGTCTAATGGGGAGACCTTATTCAAACAATTAGGGTACACTGTAATTATTGTGATCATGGAGATAGGCTCAAAATGCACTCAGTATGTTAAAATAGGGAACATCCACATAGGCCCAGTGGCATCAGAGGAAACTTCACAGAAGAGATAAAACAAGCTGAGACTTGACATGTGCCAGGTGTTTGCCAAGGGAGTGAGAGCATTCTGGGCAGAGGAAACAGCATATACAAAGGCAAGAAGCTTGAAAGAGAATGTCAGATCCGGGGAGAGGTGAATTGTTCAAAATGGCTATAGACTAAGCCGGGCAAAGAATGGAAATGGAGAGAAGATGGGTGTGGATTTGTGGGGGGTGACAACCAGATCATGGGGTACTTTCTATTGGACAGTGAGAAGATTAGAATTTACCCAGAGCAGAGAAGAAAAATAATTATTATATTTATTTATTAGAAAAATTAGTCTGGTACCAGGGAGAGGACACGACTAAATTAGGACAGAGGCAGTAGGGAAGGAAATATGTGGATGTTTCAAGAACTATTTAGAAAGTAAGATGGTCCTGGTCCTAGCTTATTTGATTAATGTAATGGTGATGCTGCCAAAGAAAATGAGTAACACTCAGGTAGACATGGTGCCTTCCATTTGGGACCTGTTAAATTTGAGGCAGCAAAGAAACATCCAAGTGAAAATACCCAAGAGGACCAAGACAGAATCCTGGGGAGCATAAACATTTAAAAGGAAGGAAGAACTAACAGAGGAGCCAAGAGGGATGGCCAAAGACAGGAGGCCAAGGAGAACATGGCGTCATAGAGATCCAAGGAGTAAAAGCATGAAGAAAGAGAATGTGTTCTGCAGAGTCAAATACCACAGAAAGTTCAAGAAGGATAAAAAGTGAGAATTTCCCTTTGAGTTTATCACTTAGTAACCTAATGGAAAAGGCAAAGATGATAAAAACATTGCAATAGATCGAAGAGTTAAGGCAGTGGATATACCACCATACACCATTCTTTCAAAAAGCCTGCTGTGAAAGGAATAACAGTAGCTTGAGGGAACCCCGAAGCACAAGAGAGGTTTCTTTTTTGTTGTTGTTGTTTTCTTAAAATGGAAGAAATTTGAGCTTATCTTTGAAAGAAGTAGCTGGCAGAGATAAAAAAAAAAGTAGAAAGTTATGAAGGGGAGAGGGAATAATTGATGATCAAGGTGGTGGAGAAAGCAAGCAGGAGTAGGGAGAGCCCAGGAGGATGGATTTACAGAAATGGAGAGAAGAGTAACACCTACTCCTGTGGGATAGGAAGGTTGAACACTTAAGAAAAAAGCAAAAACTTTATGTTAAGACTGAGACTCAGAGCTTGTATGACTTGCTCAAAAGATAGGATTAAATGTTAAAGCTGGGGCTAGGGTTGTAGCTCAGTGGTAGAGTGTTTGCCTAGCAAATGTGAAACCCTGGGTTTGATCCTCAGCACCACATAAAAATAAATAAAATACAGGTTTTTTTCCTTTCTTCTTCTTCTTCTTTTTTTTTTTTTTTTTTTTTTTTTAGGTTAAAGCTCTCTGACCCTCATTTTTTACATACAATCCCCTCAGACTGCACAAGGAGGTAACCAGCTTAGGAAAGGGGTAGGTTAGGAGCTGGGGTATATTTATTGTAAGAGAATCCCAACAGTACAACTAGAAGGAATTTGAAGTTCATCATATCCAGTTGCAGATGAGAAACCTCCAGACTAGAGAGATCACCCCGTCTACTGTTAAGCTATTAGTCAGTAAAGAACTGAAACTGGACTCTGAAATAATTCCAGTCCAGGATTCTTTCCAAGAAAAATTGGAGAAAGAGATAAAGGGAGTAATAAAAATGTCCTAATCCAGTAGTTTATTTGTTATCAACACTAATCTTAACACTTTACATACACCATCTTGTTCTCATAATGACCCTGTGAAGTAGATGTTATTATCTCCATTTTTCAGCAAAACCATATTTCTGTAGAAGTCAAGTAAGTTGTAAGATGCAGAGGCGGAGGCAGAATTCAAACTGTTTGAAGCTGCTTGACTCCAATGCTTATTCTTTTCACCATATCACTAAATAAGACAGTGCATGGCAGACTAAATTACAGAGTCTCCTGAGCAAATTGAGACCACAATACAGATCACAGTAAAGTGAGTAGAAGTTGGATTTATAATTCTAAGATGTTTCTCTCACACACACACATTTTGACATCTCTGAAATTGAGGTGTGTCTTACCAACCATGGCAATCATGGTTTAATTGGCAGTACTTTTTTTTTCTTTTTTTGTGGTACATAAACTTATAATCTATCTTGCAACCAGTTCTGTCTGAGACCTAAACACATTAGGCTCAGGTGCCATTTCCCCAGTATCCTTAATGAGACAAACTGGAGTTAAACAAGTTCTGAGATCAGGGAACAGGCAGAGAAATCCAAAGCCAGATCTTGAGCTGAAATGGCCTGGGAATTTGAATTGAAGAGAAGGCTCAATGTTGATGACAAATGGAATAGAAGGACGTTTGGGCCCAGCACTGTGCCTGGTAGAGCACAGGTGCCCTTTTGGTGCTTGTTCAGGTGGACTCAAGCTCAGTTGTTCTGGAGTCACCACAACAGGAGCCAGGATGCTTGAGAAAGCTGGACAGAATGATGTGGACAGTGCAAGGTCTAAGAATCGGTCCTTTGCTATACATGTAGCAGAGCTGTTTGGCCTTTGTTCCTTTGGGGTCCAAAGCCAATCTTTTTTTTCTTTTTTGCAATCTGTATCATCTTTTACCCTTATGCCATCACTTGATAGTAAATATGGCTCTTTTTATGCTCTGTGATCTTTAAGCTTGTGCTAGAGGCCTGAGGGAAATAAAGGAGAATTATATTTCTTAAGACAGTCCCAGAAGAAATAGAGAAGCCTCAAGAGTAATGGTGGCATTGATTTAGGGGACCAAGGGATTAGGAAGGCAGCATGGGGCAGCAGAGACTGATTGCCAGTGGCCTAATTCTTTCACAGCCAAAATATGGGGAGATGGATGGCTGAGGGGTAATAGAATGTCAGTACGTGGTGGAGACTGCTAAGGCACTAAAAGGTAACCTTGAAAGAAGAGAGATCTTATCTGGTTTATTCCTTGCTTCATCTCCAGCATCAAGAATAATGCTGGTACATAGAGAGCACTCAGTAAATGTCCACTGTTTTTGTACAGCATTGGCTTCTCCACTAACCCCCACCACAATGGCTGTGTTTGGACACGTATTCCCCTTCTATGCTGACCCCAAGCCAACCTTCCCAATGGACACCGCCCTGGCAGTCATCATCACTATCTTTCTGACTGCACTAGTCACCTTTATCATCATCCTGCCTGGCATTCGGGGCAAGACGGTAAGAAAAAAATCACAGACCTTGAGATCCCGCCCCAGAGAGACCTCACCTTCAGAATAAGGGATCCAGAGGGTCAAAATCCAGACTCAGACCTATTATGTATCAGACACTCTGATCCCAATTGACCAAGTGGCCTCAGTTGTAGAATCTCTGCCCTCCCCAAGTGTGCACAGAGGAAGGGTGGACTTGGAAGGAGGGCACTGCTTACTAAACCCACCCACCCTGTGACTCAGAGGCTGTTCTGGCTGCTGCGGGTGGTGACCAGCTTATTCATCGGGGCTGTGATCCTGGGTGAGTGCCAAGGACCGCTGACTTGGGCAGCTGCCTTCATCCTGTGAAGTGCCCTTAGCAGCCTGCTTCTCCTCTCCTTGTTTCTCCACAGAGGCCTCCAGACCCTGCCCACTCCCCCCCCTCACCATGGCCTCATCCCCTTAATCTTTCCATTACCCTTGCCCACTGAGGTGCCAGCCAGGAAACCCTGCAGGATGTGTCTCCTCAATTTTTTTTTTCCCAGTTATAATGAACATGGGCAGAAGGCCTCAAGGGACAGATCCAAAGAAAACAGGGGAGGGCTGCTTGCTTACCTTTGGTGTTTAGGCAAAACGTTTCTATGTTAAAGTTATCTGTGTCTGCCTGTTATGGTTTAGGTTAATGCTTCCTCCTTCCGCTGCCTGAAACTGTCTTTAAATGCAGGTGGGGAAGAGCAGAATTTGAGCAAGGGAAGTCTTAGATTCTGACCCATTTATTTTCTGAACCACTTATTCATCCTACATCAATGGTTGGCAGGCTAACTATGAACAGATCCCAGGCTAGTTAATAGGTATACAACTGTGACCAATAGAGACATGTAGCTCTTGTTTTGATGAACCCAGTAATGCCCAGACTTCCCCGAGTTTTCATATATCCAACTCCCCAACCCCAGCCGTGACTTTCAGTTCTGAGTGGTCTGTAGGCCAGGTCAGCACCAACACAACATACAAAGCCTTCAGTCCCGAGTGGATCAGCGCTGACATTGGGCTGCAAGTCGGGCTAGGAGGAGTCAACATCACACTCACAGGTGAGGGAGGGCTCTTACGTGGGAAGGAGGGAGAAGGATATGCTCTGTACCTTTGACATGGATCTATTTTGGTATGGTCCAAAGAACTATAGCATGCCTGGCACAGGGTTTAGGAGGGTATTGGGTGCTGGGGTATGGTGGATTCAGAGCTGACTTCTCTCGGTTGAGATCAGCTCCTGTGGCCTTCTGCCCAGTGAGGGTGAGCTGCACACACCCAGGCAAGTTCCCTACTTGAGATCTTGAGTCCCTGCTGAGCACAGCTGCCCTATTCCATAGGGACCCCAGTGCAGCAACTGAATGAGACCATCAATTACAATGAGAAGTTCACCTGGCGCTTGGGTGAGAACTATGCTGAGGAGTATGCAAAGGCACTGGAGAGGGGGCTGCCAGATCCTGTGCTCTACCTTGCTGAGAAGTTCACTCCTCGCAGCCCATGTGGCCTGTACCACCGGTACCGCCTGGCAGGACACTATGCTTCAGCCATGCTGTGGTGAGCATGGGAAGGGGATGGGATGGGGTCCCTGCTGGCTTAGTAGGGACCCAGAAATAAGGTTTCTACCCATCTTTTCTCCATTCATATCCCACATGGGATGGGCTGACTTCTGTCACCCTGGTGCCTGGTTGGGAAACTCATGGGCAGGAATTCCTGCTTCACATATTTGGAGTATCTTTGGGTACCTTGGCCTCCACCTTGTTCCCTCCAGCCTTGCCACCAAGTGGAGGTACCTGAGCCAGTCTTCAGTGGATCTTGGCTTTCCAGGGTGGCATTTCTCTGCTGGCTACTGACCAATGTGATGCTGTCCATGCCTGTGCTGCTATATGGTGGGCACATGCTGCTGGCCACAGGCATCTTCCAGCTGTTGGCCCTGCTCTTCTTCTCCACGGTCACATCACTCACCCCACCTTGTCCCATGCACCTGGGCACTGCTGTGCTGCATACTCACCACGGGCCTGCATTCTGGATCACACTGACCACAGGTAAAACTCCCCACCCCAAGACAGACAGTGAAGGGCCTAGGAGGGAGTCAGGGACCATAATGTTGATGGATTTGAGGGTCCTTTTCTAGGGGCCAAGATGCTCTTGCCCTCTTTAATTCTCATCCCTATTATATCTCTCATCTCCTGCATTGCTTTCCTCAATACCACTTCCTCTCCCTCCTTATATATGCTTCCTTCCCTGTATCTTCTGTATCTGTCATGTTGCTCATCCTCTAACTCTCTCTCTTTTGCAAATCTTCCAACCATCCTCCACTTTCCCCCAAACACACTTTTCTATGTCCCTAATCTTAGAATACTTGTATGTCCCTGTTTCACACAACCCTAAATTGTTCTGTCATGCAGTTTTATTTCCTCCTGTCTTCTCCCCCCACCTCTCTCTCTCTCCTGGAATACAACTAAAAGAACACTGGGCTTGGAGTCTGGAAAGTCAGGACAACAGACTCACAATATCCATAAGACCCTAAGCCATGTAACCCCTGTGAGCCTATGTTGCCCTTAAGGAGGGCTCTGGGCCTCCTTCAAGTTGTTCTGATGTTTCTGGAAGAAGATGTCCTTGGGAGGGTGTTACTAGCACTAAGGCAAGACATCTGTTGCTCTCACCCTCAGGACTGCTGTGTGTGCTGCTGGGCCTGGTCATGGCAGTGGCTCATAGGATGCAGCCCCACAGGCTGAAGGTTTTCTTCAACCAGAGTGCAGAGGAGGACCACATGCTGGAATGGAGTCCTGAGGAAGGAGGGCTCCTGAGCCCCCGCTACAGGTCCATGGCAGAGAGTCCTGAGCCCCAGGACATTCCTCTGTCAGAGGCTTCCTCTGAGGCATGCTGTAAGGAGGAGCACCCTGGAGAGACTAACTGTGCCTTATAAGTCTCCTCTTCCCTGGCGGCCACCTGGATTTCCAACCTGGCTCCAGACCTCATTGGTGCCTCACAAAATCACAGAACTGTTGTCAGGGTGGATTCTGTCAGGTCCCCAGCTCCCATCTGCAGGTGGAGTGGGAAAGGATGCCTGTACCTATTGATGTTTTTGTTTTTTTTTTTAAATGAAACAAAAAAGTCCTAAGGCGCTGAAGAGATGTTGGGCCCATAAACACTGTTGCCATGGTAAGACCAATCAGGGGCAGCTCCTATTTCTGCTCAGCCTTTCCTGGATGATTTGCCTCGTGAAGTTGCCATTAATTGCAACCCAACGTCACTCATAAGGAATGTGTGGGGAGGGACAGGAGTTATAGTGTCATTCTCCTAGGGACCCTTCACTCTTGTTTCCTCTTATTTTTTTTTCTGGGCCCCCTTTGTTCTTCTTTTACTTTCTTGGCTTGTGTGGCCCCTTGATCTGTATTGGAAAGAAGAGGCCAAACATCTTATCCCACTTCTAATATTAACCAGCTGTGCCACTTTCTTTTTGAGCTTCAGTTCTCAAATATACTAAGTGAGATTGTAGGGTTTACTGAGGACCTTAAAAAAAAAAAACAGTCCCAGGGGACTGAGGTTGTGGCTTCGTGTGAGGTGCTGGGTTAGATGCTCAGCACCACATAAAAATAAATAAACAAAATAAAGGTATTGTGTCCTACTATAACTAAAAATAAAAAAATTTTTAAAAAAACAGTCCCAGGATTTATATTTTTTGCTTTGCTAGCACTTACTTTGGCCCTCAGATACCACCCCAAAAGAAACCAATGGTAAGAGTTAGTGAAGAAACTCCAAACTCCTATTCCCTCCCAGTTTAGGTGGGAAGCAAAGGGGATTCCAGGTGGGATCATGAACTGCCTAAGACCTACCCATCCACCTTGGGCGGCTCAGGACAATGCTGGTGCGGGTCGGTTCCCGTTCGGCCTCACTAGAGGGCGCCCCTCTCCCAAAGCCTAGCCTGGGTTACTGTGATTTCTCCAGGTGGAGAGAATCCGGTTTCGCAGCACCTCAGAATGCACAGTACTAATCTGTCTCCAGCCCAGCAAAGCCTCCTGAGGGCTTGTCCTCTAAGAGCACAGAGAAATCATGCAAATTAGTGAAGAAAGAGGTTTTTTTCTTTTCTTTTCTTAAAAAACAGTTTATTTACAGCTCATTCGGAGACTTCTTTCCTCGTGCGTGCGGCACGTCCAAAGTTGTTCTTCTTTCTCGGCACCACAGCTCAAGGCCCACCCCCAGTGGGCACTACCTCCGCCCCCCCGCCCCCGTAAGGTGCCAAGGTGGGTTAGGAGTCTGGAGTCGATTTCCTTTTATAGATTAGTAGTGATACTTAAGTTTGGGGCCCCGAACTGCTTGTGCAGTGGATTGTTGAGGACGAGAGGTGAGCGCCTTTTCTCCTGTCCACTGCAGTCCCTGACGCTTTGGTCCAGAAAGATGCGAAGAGCGTTGGGCCCAGCGTAGTGGAGAATCACCACTGCCCCGCCGAGGAGGAGGCACAGGATGCCTGCAAGATGCAGACGCCGGGGGAGGGGATGGTGGGGGGGATGGTCAGGGCTCCAGGCCAGAACTGGCCGCCTCAGTCCCCCTTTGGGGACCCAACCGTTGAGATGCAAACACAAACGCGCGCGTGCGCGCGCGTGCACACACACACACACACACACACACATACTCACACACATTCACATTTACAACCACAGGAAGACTTCTAATACGGATTACACAATTCAGGGGTTCTCATGCAAGATACCTATAAAATAGCCATAACAGTGCCTGTCTGGGAACCACTCCGAGGAGCAAATTAGATAATACCTGTGAACTCATTTTGTAAACTGGAAAGCACCATCCAGCATCAATCTGGTCCAACTCCCAGTTGTCCCGCGCAGTTCCCCTTAATTCTCACCAGTTGCCAGCGTGACCCAAAAGGCGGAGCCATAGTGAGGCATAAGCGTAGAGGAGCCCAGGCGGAACCGGCAGAGTGGCACGCTGGAGACCGAAGCGAAGGCGAAGATAGCGAAGAGCGTGAAGGCGCCGGTGGTCAGAAGCGCCAGACCTCCGTAAAGTGGGGCAGGCATGGAGAGCAACACGTTGGAGAGGATCCAGAAGCAGAACGCTACCCTGCAGGGGAGCAGGGAGGCCAGGCAGTGAGCGGGATTTTCCTTGTGCCCCGCGTCGGAGGGAAAGCTCGGGCCCTGGAAGGCAGAGTTGCGGGGAATCCCCGGGGTAGGGCGGGTTCCCAAGCTCTGGGCCTTGGCTGAGCCTCTCCACATTCTCACGGTTTGTGCGGACCCGAAGAGTTTCTGATCCGCAAGGCTGTATCTCCAGTTCCGAACATGCCTTGGAGGCCTCCATCCTTCTATTCGCGTGCACCCTCACCTCACCCCACCTCGCCCTACTCACTACTTTAGTTCCAGCGCTCACCAGAGCGTAGCTGCAGCATAGTGTCCTGCCAGGTGGTACTGGTGGTACAGTCCGCAAGGGCTGCTCGGTGTAAACTTCTCCGCCAGGTATAGCACTGGGTCCGGCAGCCCCTTCTCCAGCGCGTCCACGTACTCCTTGGTGTAGTCTTCGTCCAGACGCCAGGTGAACTGCTCGTTGTAGTCAATGGTCTCATTTAGCTGCTGCACTGGGGTCCCTGTGGGAAGCAGTAGGGTTATGGGAATGTGTAAGACCAGGAACCCGGAAACTAAGCAGATTCAGATAGGGAAGTAGGGGCGGGGCGCCTGTGGCTGGTAGAAATGGGTTTAGGGTGGTTGGGAAAATTCAAACCCATGAAGACCAATTGCTTTCCGAGCCTGAGGGATGTTGAGACGTCCTTCCATCTACCCCTGGCACACGCCCCCAATCATGGTTATCTCCCAGCCCCAACAGTTCATTTTGCCCCAGCCTCTTCACCTGTGAGTGTAATATTAATGCCCACGAGGCCCACGTGCAGACCAACATGGGCTTGAACACGGGCCACACTGAAGGCTTTGTAGGATGTGTTGGTCCAGACTCTACCAACGAACCATTCTCCACTGAAGTGCACAGCTGTGGGGAGACAGGGTAGGGGAGGGAAAAGCTGAAAAGAAGAAATAGGAGAGGCGATGGGAGGTGAGACTCTGCAGACTGTGGGTCAAGAGGTCCAATGGGGTTGCATGGTGAGGGCAAAAGAGTGGGCATTAGAAAGAGCTGGAAAATGGGAAGAGGGAGCAAAAAAACAACCCATTCCCCATTTTCCCAGATACCCTCTGCCCACCTCCTTCCTTCCAACAGTTTCTCCCCTCATGGGCTGCACCACACACTCACCCACAATTTCTGCACCTATGAACAGACTGAGAAGAACTCTCACCAACCAGAACCAGCGCTGCAGAAACAGACACTCAGGTCAGGCTTGGGCACTACCTTACCAATCCCCAGGACCTCCCTTGACCTCACTCCACCTTAATCTTAATTACATTCTTGACCTTTTGAGGCTGATGTCAGACATGCCTTTCCTTCAAGTCCCTCTGGGCTACTGATACTTCTGATGTTTTTTGGCCATATGCTTCCACCTCCCCAGCTCCATTTCCAGGTCTAACTTGCCCCACACTCTTCAGTCACCTTCACTCCCTTAGGTCTCTGGAGCCTGGTCTCTGCCTACTTCCTACTCCAATCACTGCATGGCAAGGCTCAGTGAGTCCAGAAGTACTAGGCAGGCAGGGGTCACCTCTCCCAGAAGTGGGAGGCCCCAGGGCATAGAGGCCAAGTAGAGGAGGTGGAAATAAAGATATTCCTAGGTCTGCCAGTTCCCTGAGAAACCACCAAAGATCCAGACAAAGAAAGACTGGGACCTTCCAGACTTGGAAAAATGTACAACCTGGGTTCTGGGGGAGGGGAGAGACTAAGGAAATGCCCCCAGAATGCTACAAATTGGAATCCTGTGTAGTATCTTCTGAGTCTTTAGGATGAGGCACCCATGCACATACATCTTAACCCAACATAAAGGAGAAACAACAGTCTGAGCTGCTAGTGTTTGTCCTTTTGGCCCAAACATCATCACCCAGAGGACAGGATGGGAGTGCAGCTGCTGTCCAAGAAGAGGTAGGAGTCCCTGGGAGACTGTGAAGCCTACAATCAACTCTAGGATTAACACACTGGGTGCCCATTCTCTGCAACACACTTCCAAATTGCTGGAGTCCTTTTCCAGGATGTCTTGGACAGGGAGCTCTCTCTTTCTTGAGAAGCGCTGCACCAGACTTTTGAATTTGCTCCACCTGATCTTCAGCTTGACTATTCTTAGAGACCCTTTTACAATTCTACCTGTCCCCTGTCTCCAAGAGATATGATGTCCACGACAGACCCCCACCTCAACCCCTGACCCGAGCTTCCAGCATCTATTTACCGAGTGGCCACGGATCCCAGGCAAGATGAGCAGGAAGCTGGCGGCCAAGGCCAAGAATACTAGAATGACTATGAGCAGCGGGACGCTGAAGCCGGCGGCATGCCGCGGCTGGGGGTAAAAAGGCAGTACATCGTTCCACAAAGTCATCTTGCTAGTGGATCCAGAACTTCACGCCGGCAGGTGGGCAGGAGAGCTCGGATTACCCCAGAGTAGGAGGGTCAGATCTGAGCTCCGTGCTCCCCTCTAAGGAAGTACTGAGGCAGGCTATCCTGAAGCGCCCATGGGTTATCCAGCGAGCGGAATTATTTCCCACAGGGAAGTTATTTTCCTGGCTCTGTGGTGTTCTCGCTGTGCTTGGAAGTCGAGCAGCACCTAGGCCCCTTTTATAGGGGAGTGGGCAGGATGCAGCGTAGCGTTCCAGCCAGGCAGCAGGGTCCGGTGCTGAAAGAGGTCATGCAAATGAGAGGGGCGGAGGTCATTATGCAAATTATGCGAGCCCCTCCTCTACAACTGGAGGGCGAGCCCCAGGTCTAGATACTCACACCTTTTGCGGTTCTGGCCGGAGCTGACACCCGAGACTGAGGACTCTGAAGAAGGGCGAAGAGCGTGCTGCGGGGAAGGCTGAATATCCGGAGCGTTGGAGTAACGGACTGAAGACAGGAAACAGAGTAGAGAACTATAGATTCCAAGAAGAAATAAAACGTCTGCACCCGACGGGGACTAAGAGGTTGGACCCCTTCTAGCTCTCATCCTTCATTGCGGAGGGAGTGGGTGGGTTATTGTTCCTGGGCTCCCAGCTCATCAGCCTCTTTACCTTCCCTATCACCTCTGGAGAAGCAGTATGGGGAGATTGGGGGTAGGGGATTCCAGTCTTTGAGTCAGGGCTCTCTGGAAGATTGGGTTGTTCTGCCTGTAACTAATGTGTCCCAGAGGACTCACACCTGGACGGTTTCCGAGGTCGAGGTTAGCTCTTCGATGGGGTGAAAAGTGAAGAACAGCTTCAGTGCCTTCATAGTTGCAAGTTATTCTGTAAAGAATGAGGGTCCTCCTTGATGCTTGTAGAAGTTTTGCTCCAGAAGTGGAAACTGCTGGAACTCCTACAGTATCTGCTGTAGGAGAGTGAATGTCCCTCACATACCACTTCCCGTTCCCAGACTGCAAGGTCAGTATGCTCCGTGCAAGTCCAGAGGCACTAGTGCTCTTGGGAGCTTTGCTGACGGGACTCCTGGATCCAGCCAGTAAGTATCGGGTTAATCTAGCTGCGAGGTGTTACCCAGGGGGGTGTGAGAAGGAAGAAATGCAGGCAAAGCGGCTTCCAGTAGCTGGAAGATGGAGTCAGATCTCTATCCAGGCCAGCTGGATGGGATACCCAGGACATCGCAAGTATCACCCCTTGAATCCCGTTGAGGAGCTTGGCGATGTGGCCAAGCCTGTCGGGTCCTGGAGAGGTCACTGGAAAGCTAGTGCTGAGAACGCTCTCTGTGCCCACAGGCGGCCAGGACGCACCCTCACTGCCGTGGGAAGTGCAGCGCTTTGATGGTTGGTTCAACAATCTGAGGCACCACCAGCGTGGTGCTGCTGGTAAGTCCAGGGGCCCAGGTGGGTGGAGCGCAGGGGCGCAGCAGCCCCTGTGAGAAAAAGCAGTGCAGTGTTGGAAGCGGGACACGCGCCACACTTATGCACTGCTGGGATCAGGAGACCCAGGGGAGATGGGATCCTATCAGTACAGGTGGAAGTTTGAGGGAGGCGAAAGGTAGAAAAAAGAGAGAAAGAGAGAGAGAAAGAAAGAAAGAAAGAAAGAAAGAAAGAAAGAAAGAAAGAAAGAAAGAAAGAAAGAAAGAAAGAAGAAAAAATGGTTGGAGTAGAAGGGGGTCTGATGTTTTGACAGAGCCCGGTTCCCTGCGTTTTGCAGGGTCTAGGCTGCAGCGTCTAGTACCAGCCAATTACGCTGACGGGGTGTATCAGGCTCTGGAGGAGCCCCTGTTGCCCAACCCGCGCAGGCTAAGCAACGCAGCAACACAGGGCAGAGCCGGCCTGGCATCGCTCCGCAACCGCACAGTGCTGGGGGTATTCTTTGGTAAGAGCAAACAACAACAAAAACCCGCTAGGGTTAACCAGGAACTCTGCCTGGGGAGAAGGTCCCCAGTACAAGTCGGAAGGAGACCCAAGATTCCTACTTTGTCTCCCACCTTACCCTACCCGCAGCATTTGAGTCTGCCTTCATCTTGGATGATTTGGGGGTGAAAATGCAGGGATACTTGTTTCCCTGATCCTTCTTTTAATCCGACCCTAAACACATTAGCACCACTGGACCCCATTACAGCTCTAAGAACTGAGTCCTTCGCTACCGCTTTCCTCCCCAGGTGATGATAACTACTTTGCCACTTAGAGGGTGGGGACTGACTTGGGAAATCACTTATATTAATCATATAATTTGGTTCACGCAAAAACATTGGGAAAGGATACTGTATTTTCAGTTGACATATTAGAAAATTGAGGCTCCCTAGGGCTAAGCCTCAAAACTGACGGCAGAGCTTGCTTTCCGACTTGTGACTTAGCTCTTTTAGCTCCTGAGAACCCTTGGAGGACTCCCTGGTCGTGGGTAGGGCGGGAGAGTACAGTTTAACTCACTTGTTTGGCCCCACGCTCCCAGGTTACCACGTGCTGTCAGACCTGGTGAGTGTGGAAATGCCCGGCTGTCCCGCTGAATTCCTCAATATCCACATCCCGCCGGGAGACCCCGTGTTCGACCCAGACCAGCGGGGGAACGTGGTGCTACCCTTCCAGAGGAGCCGCTGGGACCGAGAGACCGGGCGTAGTCCCAGCAATCCCCGGGACCTGGTGAGGCCAGCCAGGCTGCCAGCTAAAGGGCTGGATCTAGGGCAGGGGAAGGCTCCCATTCCATTCCGTCACCCTCACATCTTTCCTTGCCCATCTCTGCTCCCTGATTCTTGCTTGTCCACCCTGTCCCCCGTAGACCAACCAGGTGACCGGCTGGCTGGACGGCAGCGCCATCTATGGCTCCTCTCACTCCTGGAGCGATGCTCTGAGGAGCTTCTCTGGAGGACAGCTGGCGTCGGGGCCCGACCCCGCCTTCCCTCGGGACTCACAGGACCCGCTGCTCATGTGGACCGCGCCCGACCCCGCTACGGGGCAGCGGGGACATCAGGGACTGTATGGTGAGGTTGCGGGGGCCGCGCAAGGGTGCTAGGTGGAGCTGTCAGGGCGCCCGCAGTTTGTGGGAGCCAGGCCGGGGTTTGTGAGTTTCGGCTCCCTGAGGTCACTTAGCGTCTTGTCTCCTGGTGTGCACCTCCATGTCTATGCAGCCTTCGGAGCCCAGCGAGGGAACCGGGAGCCCTTCCTGCAGGCTCTGGGCCTGCTCTGGTTCCGCTACCACAATTTGTGCGCGCAGAGGCTGGCCCAGGAGCACCCGCACTGGGGGGACGAGGAGCTGTTCCAGCACGCACGCAAGAAGGTCATCGCCACCTATCAGGTCAGCACAACCGCTCATTCTGCTGCCCACCCACGTGAAAGTCCACTGGAGATTCTGCTTCGTGGCACAGTTTTTCATCCTGCGACCACCCTCACCCAGAAATGCTGCTTTCCTGGTGGCTCCTCTTCCTAGGGAGCTAATGTCTAGTAAAAGCTCCTATCAATGATAAGGAGGCCCAGTGCTACTTACAGGAGAGATTTTGCTTGTGATTATTTTTACCGACTCCCCCACCCCCATTTCTCGTTCCTTGTGGGGCACAGGCCAGGTACTTCTCCTGTTTGCCTTGCCTCTCCAGGGACTGCCCCTGCTGAGTCTTCAGCTCTGCACCTGTCTTCCTTGGGCTCAGCTCTCTGGTGGCCCCACCAGGTCCAAAATGCACCTCTCCTCTCTCCTCTCTCCTCTCTCAGAACATCGCTCTGTATGAGTGGCTGCCCAGTTTCCTGCAGCAAACGCCCCCGGAGTATGCAGGTGAAGGAATTGGGGGAATACCTGGGCTGAAGAATCGTGGGGAAAAGAAAATAGGTACAGGCATGTGATTGGAGGATGAGGGGTAAGGATCCTATCTCCCTTGTGACCGGTTTCCTTCAGGATACCGTCCTTTCACGGACCCCAGCATCTCCCCCGAGTTCGTTGTGGCCTCTGAGCAGTTCTTCTCCACCATGGTGCCCCCTGGTGTCTACATGAGGTGAGGGAGCATTGGCATTGGGAGCAGCACAGTTCCCTGGCAAGAGGTGCTAAATGAGCAGCCTTCTGGGCCTGGGACCTTTCACACACCTCCACTTTTCACTAAGGAAGAGAAGCAGAATTTGGGAGCCTGACATATGACCCTGTGGTGGGAGGTTTGGTCTTAGGGAAATCTCTCCAGCTTTCCTAATGACAGAATTTTGGCTGCTGAGTGTAGGATTTGTCCAGAAATTGGGTCACCCTCCTTCCTCCCCGCCCTGGGCAGACAGAGCTCATTCTGTCTTCAGTAAAGATATATTGCCAAATCCTTGCTATGCTCAATAAAGTTAATGGGACATCCTTCGATACTGGCCAACCCCCACTGAGTCCACTCACCTGATTCAACCTCATCTTAGCTTCTGACCTGAATTTCCTTAACTTGCTCTTGATTCCCCATTTCAGAAATTCCAGTTGTCATTTCCGGAAGGTCGTAAACAATGGTTTTGGCAGTTCTCCAGCTCTCAGGGTCTGCAACAGCTATTGGACTCGTGAGGTCAGCTTGGGGTTAGGGAGGGTATGGTGGGTGGTAGACATTCTTCACACATTTAGAAAAAACAGTTTCAGTTTTTGGGTGTTGCTGCTTCAGGTTGGTGGAAGATGAAGGGCAGAGAAAAATTATTTTGGGGCAATTGCTCAAGAGAATCTGGGAGTACTGAGCACAGTGGCATATATACCTGTAATCCCAGCTACTGGAGGCTGAGGCAGGAGGATCACCTTGAGTCCAGGAGTTCAAGGCCATCCTGGGCAACATATTAAGACCCTATCTCAAAGAGGGAGGAAGGGAGACAGGGGGAGAGAGAGAGACAGACAGACAGACACTCTGACTGCAACTGACCAAGGGCCTTTAGAGTGCTGCAGTGTCCAGGGTGAAGGCTTTGGGAGGGGCTCTGTAGCCTATCTTGAGTGTATTATTTACTTCCAGAACCCCAATCTGAACAGCGTCCAGGAGGTGAATCAGCTGCTGCTAGGAATGGCGTCCCAGATTTCAGAACTGGAGGACAGGATAGTAATTGAAGACCTAAGGGGTAAGCTCAGATCCAGAAGGGATGAGGGCTAGAGGCCAGGGAGACTGGGGATCAACAGGTAGATCTACAGTAGCCATAGGGCAGAAACATAGATACACATGCAGACTTCAAATAGTCATTAGAAGAAAATAAACGTTGAGCATTTTTGTTAGTTTTGGGTTGCTTTTATTTTAAATTAACTATATCTGAGTATGGGGGCAGGGATGGTACCACAGTCTTTTGGTGTTTAGTTAGGTCTCTAACGGTTTTAATCCAGCCCTGTCTTGAAGTTAGGGAGGCATAGGGCAGGGAATTTTCCACTTCATGTCTAGAACCATCTTGAGTCTTAGAGGAAGGCTTTTACCAGAAAAACTGCCTTGATCACACATGGTGACATTGGCCCCACATCAAGTCAAGATTAGTATTATATTGACTTCCTATAGGAGACTGCTGGAGCCTGGGGTTGGGGAGAGGGTTCAACGGCCAGACGTAGGCTACAGGGGAAAGTAGGACTGGGAGAACTGAGTGTGTGGTCTTGTCTCTCCTCAGATTATTGGCCTGGCCCTGGCAAATTCTCCCGCACAGATTATGTGGCCAGCAGCATCCAACGTGGCCGAGACATGGGGCTACCCAGCTATACCCAGGCCCTGTTGGCCTTGGGATTGGAGGCCCCAAAGAATTGGAGTGGCCTCAATCCCTATGTAGACCCTAAGGTCAGGAGTAGTAATAATAATAATAGCAACTAAAGCTTTCCTGTGGCAATACTGTTCCAAATTCTTTACATAAGCTATTCATTTAATCCACATAAGAATATTTTAATGTTGATATTATCAATGTTCCCATTATCATGGTGAGTTCTAGAGGCATGATTTAAATTCAGCCATTTGACTCCAGAATATGGTCCCTGCTACTACCCTGTACCACTGGGGAAGAATGGCCCCTCCGTGGGGTACTATTGTCCTTTTTCTTCAGGGTCCTACCTCATTAGGTTGGTGGCCATGAAACTGCTAATTATAGTGGCCAGGAGTCTGAGTAGTAATGGTATGGTCCTCAAGTTCCTGACAAGGGTCTTACCATGGCTAGGGACACATTGGTTCTCCCATCAGACTATGACCACCTGATGGGAGCTGCCTAGGAACAGGAACCTCTTTCCAGGCCGGAGTAGCAGGCGGCTTCTGGGGTTCTGTGTCTGAGGGATGGGGCAAGAGTGGTTACCCTTTCCAATATAGCACACACACACATACATACGCACACGTTATTTCCAGGTGTTGCAGGCCACAGCTGCCCTATACAACCAGGACCTGTCTCGGCTAGAGCTACTCCTGGGTGGGCTCCTAGAGAGTTATGGGGACCCTGGACCTCTGTTCAGTAACATCGTTCTCAGCCAGTTTGTGCGGCTACGGGATGGTGACCGCTACTGGTTTGAGAACACTAGGAATGGGTAAGGCCTGCCCGGGGCCCACCTCCTACTCCATGTTGGCCTGGCCTTAGAATGCCCCCATAGGCCCTTGATTCCCAGTTGGCCTACCACACCATTCCCATTCCCTTCGGGTTTCTTTTCTCATCTGGGTCCTTGAGCCTGGGTTGCTGGAGGCCTGCATTCCCTTCCCATCCAACTCCTTCTTTCCCCAACTCAGGTTGTTCACCAAGGAAGAGATTGCAGACATCAGAAACACCACTCTGAGGGATGTGCTGGTAGCTGTCACCAACGTGGACCCCAGTGTCCTACAGCCCAATGTCTTTGTCTGGCATAATGGTCAGTGGCCCTGGAGAACACAAGTGAAAGTAGCCAGAGAAGGATCCAGATTGTGGGGGAGAATCACTGGGTGCAGTCCAGGGTTGGACTGAGAGGTCTATATTAGGCTGGACCCCACAGAGTAGACAGGACTGCTAGGAGGACTGCACCCTGCAGTCAAGCTATATGGATGCAGAGAAATGGGATGTGGAAGGGATCTTTCAGAAGGAAACAAGTTTTAAAGAAGTGGGCCTGGGGAGGGTGGAGGACACCTGGGTCCTTTCCAAGAGGAGAAGGAGTCCTGCCCAAGGAGTATGACCCTTGGACTTTGAGGTCTTCGTGCTCTCTTCCCCAGGCTCACCTTGCCCGCAGCCCCAGCAGCTCACAACCAAGGGCCTGCCCCGCTGTGCACCCCTTACCGTGCTTGACTACTTTAAGGGCAGTGGTCCTGGTTATGGTCTCATCATTGTGGCTCTCTGCTGTTTTCCATTAGGTGAGCTTTTTGCCCCCTCCCTATTTCTCTTCATCTGGCCCCCTCTTCCCCACAGACTGGCCCATCCCCTCATTACCTGTTGGCCTACAGGGCTAGCTCCTGGGCACAGTTTGAGGCCACGCTCAAGGGCTCTTGGGAAAGTAGGGGCAGCAGCCTCTTTACCCACTGAAGCTGTGGTTGAAGGGTTCTCCTCCCCATTGACCCCTTCTGATTCCCGTCAGTGAGTTTGGTTATCTCTGGGATGGTGGCTCATTTGCGGAACCAAGAGCGCAAGAAACTACAAAAGAAAGGCAAAGAGAGTGTGGAGATGGAAGCAGTCAAAGATGGAGTGACAGGTGAGATGAGGCTGAGGGAAATAAAGGAAGATGGGAGGATGGGAGGCCTGAGACAAAGAACCAAGTTACAAAGTGGGGCAAAAACCAGGCTTTAGGGTATCTGCTTAGATTTGTAGAGCAGTATAGGCCTAAGGATGTCTGCTTAATTACTGCCAAATCATCTCTTCCCTAGCAATGGAGTGGCCAGGCCCCAAGGAGAAGAGTTGTCCCATCACCATCCAGCTGCTTCCAGACAAGTGCCTACAGGTCCTTGACAGACGTCTCACTGTGCTCCGCACCATCCAGCTGCAGCCCTTGCAGCAGGTCAACCTCATTCTGTCCAGCAACCGTGGGTGCCGCACTCTGCTACTCAAGATCCCCAAGGAGTATGACCTGGTACAGCTTGTCCTGCCTCCCTGACCTGGGCTGCTTTTACACATCTCTCCTCTCATAAGCAAGTCCTCTCAGGCCACCTCATCTTCAACTACAGAGATCATCTGTAAAGGGCTATGCTGGGAACAGGGACTCCTTTCAGAGGCCCCAGACTCAACTTGACCCCTTAGGCCATTCACTTGGTTCAGCCCAGATAGACCGGGAAGAGCTTTTCTCTCCTTTCTTCAACCCAGTGTCCTTCAAGGAGAGGCTGGACAGGAAGCTTGAACTCCCAAGTGTGGCAGGGTCTTTCTTTCACCCAGGTGCTGCTATTTACCAGTGAAGAGGAGCGGAGTGTCTTTGTGCAGCAACTGCAGGGCCTCTGTATGTTCTGGACTCTGGACCTCCACGTGGATGACATGGGAGAGAGTGAGCTGTTCAGGAAGGCTGTGACCAAGCAGCAGCGAGGGCGTATCCTGGAGATCTTCTTCAGACAACTTTTTGCCCAGGTGCCATGCCTTGTGCCTTTGGAGATGGGCCCAGACTAGGGGATGGGGCCAACCTAGGCTGGATAGGACCCCACTTGAGTGGACTAGTTTCCACTCTTTGGGCTGGAGACAGACATCCTTGTTTGGATCTCAGCTGAGCTGCTTACAAGCTACATGATCATAGACAAGATACATTATTTTAGGTCTGTATCTCCACTTCTTCACCTTTGAAACAGTGATTAAAATTGTATCCATCCCACTCTGGGGGTATTGTGAGGATCCAGTGAAATAGTTTACATGGCATGCTCTCAGAGGTTGGCTCCTGGACCAGCAGCATCAACCTCACCTGGGAACTTGTTAGAAATGAAAATTCTCAGGCCCCTCTCCAAGGAAACTGAAGGAAGCACTCTGGGGATGGGACCCAGCAGTCTGTGTTTTAATAAGCTCTCCTGATCCTGGTCTAGCTCAAGTTTGGAAAACACTGTTCTATATGTAGTGCTTAGCTGATGTGCTTGGTAAGTTATAGGCATTTAAAAAAATGGAAGTTACATGTAACTTTAAAACTCTTTGCACATGGGCAGAGACAAAATCATAGGTACATGGCAGCCCTATCTGAACTGGCATGAAAGCATAGCCCCAGTCTCTTCCTGCCTGTTCACCCTGTCTGTGATTAACGTCTGTCCCCAGCATAGGCTCTTTCAGTTTCCATTTCCCAACTTTGCCACTCACCCCTGCTCTCCACTTTCCTTCTGTCGTCACCACCCCCATCATATGGTGCTTGATTCCAGGGAGAAGGGGGCAGGATGCTAGAGATTCAGTCCTCACCCCCACCATAGGGGAGCAGAGGCTCAAGTCAATATATCTAAGCATCTAGGCTCAGCCTTTCTGAAATGTACCCTGGGGAAATGTGAACAGTCACTGAACTGCTTCCAGCCCAGGCCTTATGCCCTTCTCTCCCTTCCTCTGCTGTTGCCCAAGTGCAGGTGCTGGACATCAACCAGGCAGATGCAGGGACCCTCCCTCTGGACTCATCCCAGAAGGTGCGGCAGGCTCTGACCTGTGAGCTGAGCAGGGCTGAGTTTGCCGAGTCGCTGGGCCTCAAGCCCCAGGACATGTTTGTGGAGTCCATGTTCTCTCTGGCTGACAAGGATGGTAATGGCTACCTGTCCTTCCGGGAGTTCCTGGACATCCTGGTGGTCTTCATGAAAGGTAGGAGGCCAGGGACAGCAGGCCATCTGAGTTATCGAAGGTCTCTACCTGGGGAGGTGGTCTGCATCTCCCTATCTCCCCCAGGCTCCCCGGAAGATAAGTCCCGCCTGATGTTCACCATGTATGATCTGGATGGGAATGGCTTCCTCTCCAAGGATGAATTCTTTACCATGATGCGGTATGAGGTGGGCCCTTCTAATCCTGAGACGTCCTGGACATTTTAAACAGAAAAACAGGTCAGGTCAGAGGAGGGCAGGAGAGGCAGCTAGTTGGCCATCTATGTTGAAAGGTGACCTGGACACTGCATGCTAGATTCTTAGAACACCTGGCTTCAAAGATTTACCTGCCTCAAGCAGGGTCTATACCTTCACTGTCAATAGCAGCCAGGAAAGTCTCCCTACTTTTAAAAGACATGCAAATAAACAAGCCAAAAAAAAAAACAAACAAACAACTAATATCAATATGAACAACAACAGAAGCCTATTTAATCCATTTAGATGCCTTTGGGTCTCTGTAAACTCTTTTACCACATACCCAAAACTGCTTTACACAACGAAATAATGCATGGATGACCTTAATAATGCATGGTCACTCTTCTAATATCAATCACCACAATAGGAAAAGAAACATGGAAAGTTCCTCTATATTCGAACCCTTCTTTCTTTCTGTTTCTTAAGCCATTTCTGGTTTTGGTGTGTTGATAAAGACCAGCTTTGAGTATCATCGACTTCTCATTTCTGAAGATAATACCTTGCTATAGGGTGAGACTCATCTCTCTGTGTTCCTTGTTGAATAGGCTGCCTCCACACAGAGATTGACACATAGCAAGCATTCCACACATGGTTAACTAAATAAGACAAAGTGAAATGAGCAAATGAATAAATAGTATAAATACAGCAGCCTAGATTCTTGTAATAATTCTTGTTTTGTTTCTGCAGGGGGGTGGTTTCTGGGGATTGAACACAGGGGCACTCAACCACTAAGCCACTTTGTCAGTCCTAGTTTGTATTTTATTTTCTTTAGAGACAGGGTCTCACTAAGTTGTTAGTGCCTTGCCATTACTGAGGCTCGCTTTGAATTCACAATCCTCCTGCCTCAGCTTCTCGAGCCGCTGGGATTACAGGCATGTGCACTGTGCCTGGCAGATCTTGTAACAATTCTATTCTCTTTCACTCTTTTCTTTCTTTAAGCATGCCCCTTACCTGTCAAATTCCAGATACACCAACTAGATGTAGGCTTCTCAAAGCTAATTTCAGTCTGTACCTCCCTTGTGTGTCATTGCCAGCCCAGCCCTTGGTGCTTCACACAGCTCCTAGGAATGCAGGAGAAGGCCCTGATCACCGAGGGCTGAGTTCCCACTTTCTTGCCCTGTAACTCAGTATGGTTCTTGCTGAGCCTCAGTGAGATGATGCTTTTTAATGTGATGGCAGTTCTTGCTATGTGGCCCAGGTCTTTTTCTGGTGGATTTGCACATTCTTGCCTGGTTGGTTTTTGTCCCAAAGCACAACCTAAGGAAAGAGTTTGGCCACTGTAGCTACCACTTGGGTGCTGTCAGATTAGGTGTGGAGACACACCTGCCTGTGCCCTAGAGTGTTGCCCTAGGAAGCAGTAGCCATCACAGCTGTATCTCCCCACCTTACTGTCTGGTGCCTTCACTGGAATGTCAAAGTGGGAGCCCAGGGGGAGCTATGGGAAGTGGCAGAAAGCCCATCATGAGACAAGGCTGTGGCACACAATGGATATGTCCATGCACCAAGTGGATATTCATTCCCAGTGGTAGATGCCCTCTGGTTCAAAGGCTGCTTTTTCCTACTAGTCAAGGTCACTTTCAATTCTGTTCTGTATTTTGAACACCCTAACCACATTAGTGTCAACTTCAGGCTAGATGAGCATCTTCTCAGGGCCATTTCCCAGGTCACTTGTAATACACCTTAGGTAATCTTGAGCTGCCTCACCCTGCACCTGTCCAAGTCTGACCTCATTGGACTGACCTCTGTCTCTGGTCCTCCACAGGTCCTTCATTGAGATCTCTAACAACTGCCTGTCCAAGGCACAGCTGGCTGAGGTGGTGGAGTCCATGTTTCGAGAGTCTGGCTTCCAGGACAAGGAGGAGTTAACATGGGAAGACTTTCACTTCATGCTTCGGGACCATGACAATGAGCTTCGCTTCACACAGCTCTGTGTCAAAGGTAGAGGTGGAGGTATGTGAGTGTGTAAGGAATTGTTGGATTTGGGAAATGGCAGTCTTCAAAATAAAACTCATGGTGGACAGTACCTAGATCTTATTCTTCTGAGTCCTTGGTGCCTTCTGAGCCAGGCACATGTATTCAGGGCATCATATATGGATATACAAGTTGTATTATTGCACGAAGATGCTTACTGAGATCAAGGGGCAACTGAAATCCGGCAACATACTGCTAAAGCCACAGGCATTGACCTGGGGTGTATCTGGCCAGTGAAGAAAGCACTATTTTTTTTTTTTTTACACAAAGGACATGCAGGATTGCATCTGCCCAGAGGCTCCCTCTTTTTCTGATAGCACAAAGTTGCCACATTGTCTTCCCAATGCACTGCGGGTGCTTTATGTGGAAAGAGAGCAGAGCAGGGTCACCAGCAAGTGCCTTGGTAGCCTTTGCAGAGGGATAGGAGGAGAGGTCAGTCTTCCACTCTCCATCACCCCACTGCCATCATGGGAAACCCAGTCCAGCCTCTTTTCTCCTTTCCAGGTGTTGGAGATGTCTTTAAACCAAACATCAACTGTCGAGTCTCATTCATCACTCGGAATCCTAGGAAATGGTAAACAGGAATAAGGAACAGGGAGGTCTCCTTAACTAGGTCTCCTGCAGAGAATGAAGGAAGTAGGGCTGGCCAATCAATCCCCAGGGTCAGATATTTGCCCTCTGAAAGTAGTTCTTATCACCATGGTCAGTTTCAGCCCAAATTACAGCTGCCTGCCACACCCCATACTGCTCAGGACTTTGTCTCTCTTCCTGCTACTCCAGGCTGGAGTCATCCTACAGAACAGATGAGAAGACTATAGTCATTCTCCCCTCGCTCCCTGGTTTGCCTCTGCCCCAAGCTTTGAACCGACAGTTTCTTCTCCTGGGTATTAAGACACAGGCTCCATTTTCTTTTTTCAGCTCCTGCTCCCAGGAACCGGGACTCCCTGCTTCAGAAGCTCCAGAGTTGGGAGGCTCTGGGATAAAGAAGAGGTTTGGCAAAAAGTGAGTGTTTTCCGGATCTCTGGGGCCAAAGAGACATGAAGAGAAGTCTCAGGGACTCTGGGTCCTGCCCACACCTCCTTGACTAAAAGGGATCATTCTGAGGCTCATTCCACTTGTCCCACTAGATGACTAGGGCTAGAGTGTCAACCTCTATACCCATTCTTCAGGCAAGGGCCTTGGCTCAGAAGCAACACCAAGATGGTAGTAAGGGGTCACCTGACTCCTGACTCCTTGGGCATGGTGGTGGGCCTGTACAGGGAGCAGGACAGGGGAAGGACAGAAGAAAGAGGAGAAGGAATAAGAGGTAGAGTTATGGAGAAACAGAAGAGGGGATGGATAGAGCGAGTGAAGATGGAAGCAGAGTTGGGGGAGTGGGAGGCTGCCTTTCTTCCTTTGTCCATCCTGACCTTGGTTCTCATAGACACTGAGGGAAGGCCAGGGTCCTCCTCTCTCACCAGCACCCTATCTCCCACCGGTACAGGGTGGTGGGGTCCTCTCCCCGGCTGTACACAGAGGCACTACAGGAGAAGATGCCACGAGGCCTCCTGGCCCAGAAGCTGCAGCAGTTCAAGCGCTTTGTGGAGAACTATCGGCGCCATATTGTGTGCATCGCAGTCTTCTCAGCCATCTGTGTGGGCCTGTTTGCAGAGCGTGCCTACTGTAAGAGCTTCAGGCTGTGGGCAGTGGGCAGGGAGTAGGCCCTGTCCCTCAGGGAGGAATGGAAAGCCCTCTGGTTGCTCTTCCTGGTCCTCAGTGCCTGGATGGAAGAGGCCAGGTGTTCTGACTCAGGCTCATGACCATGCATCTTGGGCCATGCTGATCTACCCATCTCTGGCCCCAGACTATGCCTTTGCCTCACCACCCACGGACATTGAAGAGACCACCTATGTGGGCATCATCTTGTCACGAGGAACAGCAGCCAGCATCTCCTTCATGTACTCCTACATCCTGCTAACTATGTGTCGCAACCTAATCACCTTCCTGCGAGAGACCTTCCTCAATCGATACATCCCCTTTGATGCTGCTGTGGACTTCCATCGTTGGATTGCCATGGGTGCTGTTATCCTGGCCAGTATGTGGCTCCTGGCCTTCTCCCCTTTGCTTCAGCCCCATAGGTCTAGTTTTGGGGAAAACAGTGAGAAGGCTGGAGCTCTTTATACCTCCCTGTCTCCTCTGGTGCTGTCTCTCCCACTCTGGACTAGAGGTAGAGTCAGCCCTGGCTGGCATCTCTCTCTGATATTGTCTTTTTCAGTTTTGCACAGTGCTGGCCACGCGGTCAATATCTACATCTTCTCAATCAGCCCTCTCAGCCTGATGGCCTGTGTATTCCCCAACGTCTTTGTGAATGATGGGTCAGTTCTGGGGAAGGTGCTCTCTGGGTCTCCTGGGTGGGCTGGAAGGTGTAATAGAAAAGAGATAGCCAAAGACCCTCAGCTTCTCACTGAGTGAAGGTGCAAAGTTATCCCACTGAGGGAAAGTGAAAGGTGATCTCTTTGCCTTAAGGAAGCTGACTATGATTGGCCAGGAAAGATGTTTAGAAGATGATTGGATACTCTTTGTGCATGTACTTGACACACAGCTTGCCATTTATTCATTGGGCAAACATTTATGGACCATGTCCTGGGTATCCAGCCAGGTGCCAAAGAGTAGGGATGTTAAGATACATGGAATCATTCTACACATACTTACTGAGAATTTACTGTGGGACTGGTATAGCTGTAAACCTAGGGATAGAGTGGTGAACAAAACATAAATCTAGGGGCTGGGGTTGTGGCTCAGTGGTAGAGCGCTTGCCTGGCATGTGTGAGGCCCTGGGTTCGATCCTTACCACCACATATAAATAAAGAAATAAAGTAAAAAATCCACTGTCAACTAAAAAAATTTTTAAAAACCCCATAAATCTCTGTCTTTATGGATACAAAATAATGAACCCAGCACTCAAGGAAGCAAGAGTCAACTGCAGTAAGAGAACTTAGGATAACATGGGAGGAAAATTTGCTGAGCGTGCAAAGGGTAGAACTGGGGGAGGCTGGGTGCCATGTTCCTTGGAAGAATCGCTTGAGGTATACTAATTGTCATCTAGGTGGAGGCCTAGTAACCTCAGCAGTCAGGGCCAACAGGAACAGTTAGACTGTGTATGACAGCGGTGGAGCCCCTCCTGCCTCAGTGTATCTCAGAGGCACAATGTGTCTTTGCCCCACAGGTCTAAGCTTCCTCAGAAGTACTACTGGTGGTTCTTTGAGACAGTTCCAGGTAGGGACTGGGGCTCTATATGGGATCTGGGGATTCTGTCTGAGGGCTTCTACTTTTGCCTCCATTTCCTTAAATACACATGGGTCTTTACTGGCCACTGGTTCATTTTCTAGCCTGCTGCACAAGCCTCAGCTCTAGCCTCTCCAGGTAGGCCATTCTAAGGATGAGAGAGGAAGGAGGGCAGAATGGGGAATATTCTGTGTCTATTTTCAGCCCAGGCTGAGCCTGTCTGCCGCAGTCTGGCTGCAGCAAAATAACGGGGG